GTGTGTGGCCTTTGCATAAACTAAAAACTTCACACCTCCTGTCTAATTTACACTCCCTTCATGCCTTAGATAACTAATTAGCCTTTGATATCACTGCAGTGAAGTATCATATGCTATCCTGCTGATGGGTAACAGCTTAAGCTACATTATCTGTATCGCAAAGTTAGCATCCAGTCTGTGTTTCCCATGCAAAATAATGAACACTGGTCAAGAATACACTTTAGCTGGAGATACAACTGCATTAGGAGAGACAAAAATAAGTTATAATAGAGTCCTAATTGTTGCTCGGGGACATTAAGAGAAGCTTAGCTGGTAGAATGACTCGTTAAGATGCCTTCAGCGAAAGCGTAAATTCACAGAGGGATTTTAAAAAATCCTGAGTTTTCATCCAAGGTGTAACCAGTGGGGAGCTGAATGTGCGATCTTTTAGTGCCAACATGTACTGCCTGCTCGTGTCAGCAGCAAAACAACAAAAGGTGCTACAAACTCAGAGCTGTTAAGAGGAGAAAAAAAAAAAATCAGCAGCAAGAAAGAGAGACGACAGAAGTTTGAATCGTGTAAAACTGAATGCTGCAGTCGCAGCCGAGGGTGTTTTGACATGTCACATCATTACGAATCAAAATAGTCACAGATCAATGAGTTTCACATCTGACTTGATAGATCAGCGCACGCAGATTCCAACACAGCTGGAAAATTGTCGTGTGCCTGCGTTAAAGACAAGACGTTAACCGTCAGTGCTTCGACTGCATGAGATGCCTTTGAAATAGTCCTAAAAACACATCTTGGACAGCTGCATTCATCAGGACATAACAATACAATGCATTCACCGGTGCTCTCACACATCTGTACTGTGTGGACAAAGAGTCTGAGGGGGTGCTGTGAGGTTGACATTGAATACATAATGGCAGTCTGGTGTTGAGAGGCAACAGAACGGCACTGAAACAACAAATCTCCCTCTGTGAGATTCACTTCTGGCACATGCACTCGTACGTACATTCTAATCACATGTTCTAGAGATGGGAAGGGACGAAGTTGTCAAGAGTCAAGAAATCATTTTTGGACGTTGCTCACATCCTCTGGATTTCCGGACACGGTGAAAAGGTATGCGTTTGTTCAGTGTCGGTATAATTCATGCCATGTCAGAAGATCTCCCTTCCTTCATTTGGCCAAATATCCAGGCTGTGGCATAAGGGAGGGCCAAACTGGTGATCTAAAATGCTTTTATCAGCCGTCTAAACCAACCTTCACACACACACAAGCCTGATCATGCGTGACGCAGGATATTAAACACACAATCAACCTGCATGTGACCCTTGACAGCCAATCGGTGTCCACGACAAAATATTTCATGGCAATCCATCCAGTACTTGCTGCAACATCTCACTCAAAGCCACACATGGCAGTCAAGGCAATCCATCCAATAGGTGTTGAGATATGTTCAAAAGGGTTTTTTTTTAGAGTTCCTATATATATATGGGTCTGAAAAGCTCTTTCACCACATCAGTGGACAAATAGTCTCCGGGGCCTGAAAACTTCTTCTTTTTCATTCGTCCTCTTCTTACTCAATACAAATGCAAATGAGTTTTTCTCACTGGAACCAACTAAAGGACCCAACTGCCTGTTGAGTCACCGGAGGGACCACAGTGTGTCCAATATAGTCCAAACAAATGTCCTGCAAAGCCTTTAATGCTCACTGTATTCATCAGAAATAAAGTCCTGCTGGCAGAGATGCAAACATGAAGAAGAACAGGGCCTGATGAATGAGAAACCATCTTGATGGCAATTAAAGAAACCTATTTTTGCACTTGTTAAAGAAAGATTCCCGTCCTGAAAACAATGATAGGAGTATTAAAAGTAAATGTAATTGGTGTAAAGCGATGCCATCTCATTATAAAACGTCTATTTGCGGGCAGACTGGCGGAGCAGCTTTGCATACGGTCAAAGACAGCTTTGTGGAATATGTGGTGAGCAGCGCATATCAAGACAGGTCTTTGTGTGGGAGCCTTGCAGACTCTCTGTGGTGAGCTGCGATAATTACAACCATGGTACGTCGCCTACTGAAATGTCAAGAGTCTTAAATGTCAGAAATTAAACTTTCAAAAAAAAAAAAACTTTGACACTTTGTTTGATTGATAGAGAGTATTGTAAACATGACGATGGGATAGAGCCTCAACTCTGCCTGGAGACCCGACAATCAGTCCCGAAAAGACAACAATACCGACTCGTATTCGAGACAGAGGCCGAGCACAGACGGGGTGCGACACACAGCAGCAAACAAAGACACACGTGTTCCTATCAGATTCCAGATTGCAGGGGAGCTGGCTGAGTTTCGAGACTCGTCCAATGAGCCTCTGCTCTATCTCCAACAGTCGACTAAGGCTGTCGAATATTCTACATTTCAATATTTATTCAAATAGTAAAATAAAAAGAAGCAGAAAAAAAACGAATATGTAAATTAATATTCGATTGTGGAGGGAATAAAAAAAAAAACGTTCGACTGTCGACTGTGACTCTATCTACCCCTGATATCTACGGCATCGCTCCATCTCTGCACGTCTACTCATCTAGCTTACTGAGAGTTATTACATCCATCATAAGCCCAAAATTATATTTTTTTTTTTTTGCTCAACAGCACATTAATCAAACCTGTTAGTAAGCTAAAACTGCAAGAAGTCGGTTATTAGATTGATTAATCGTTATCAATCTTGTTACAAATTTGGGACAAAAAAGTATGTTGTGCTTGGATGTGATTTATGAAACGTGTGAACTGTTTGCAGCACGACTGATTTATCACACATGACAACCGGGCAGAATCTACTGTGAAACCATCACTCAGAAGATCTTCCTCGTGCTTTCACAGAGTTTTCAGCGAGACATGTTACTTCGCCCTAAAACCATCCATCGCAGTACTTGTAATTTGCATAATCCAGTATTGGTATACATCCAGATATATGAAGTTCTCTGACTATGGATGAAATAAGCTGAATGTGTCTTTACAGCTTATTGATTTAACAGCTGTAGCACTGTAAGCAGTTCCTCAGAATCTACAACAGTTGTTAAATGTCTTTATCATCGTTTTGCCCTCAGCTGCAATTCAGACCAATGGTATTTGGTTGACAGTGCTCACAGAACGTATTTACTTGGACCAACCCTGTATTGCTTAAGGTCCTACATCTCAATTAAAAGCAGTACTTCATGAATAAACTGTGACCGTTGGCTGAACTTGAATGTTCCCGCTAGACGAGTCAAACAACTTCTTGAACCTCCTCTCTATAGACACGACCGAGACGCTCCTCGAGTTTCTTCTGTTCACACCCGCCAAGACGCAAGTCATTCATACAGTATGACTCCACAGATGTAGAACTCACATGGAAGCCTCATTCTTCCACCAAGTTGTTATGCATGGCCTGTCAAGAACTATTAAAGTACACACACACACACACAAAGGCAGTGGCCCCTGCTGTGACATGGGTTGGGTTCTTGCAATTTCAAAGTGATGCAACACGATCCAGCCGAGCGTCTCCTTGGCAGACGGGCAGCACGCAGGCCCAGCACCCCCGAGGACATGGGGCACCTGCCGTCCCTGGTGACTGTGCTCAGCAACAGACCCGACCCCCCCCCCCCCCCCCCCCCCCCCCCCCCCCCCGACGTCACTCGAAACCCCTGGCGACTCCCAGACTCGGAGTAATCAGAGGCAGGATTATGTTTAACAGGATTTGATTCCTAATGAAATTCTTCCACGGTAGTCGAGCACAGGGAGTTTAAAAAGAAGGAAAAAAAAGTGGTGATTACTTTTGATTTTGAGACTATAAATAGACCGTCGTAAAGAGGTCCGGGTTTCTGGTTTGTGTTTATTTAGGCTGATGTAGACAGGCAGGGGGAGAAGGATTTGACAGTTTTGATCTGAGACCAACTTCACAGGAAGAAAATCACTTCCTGGGACATTTCTGGGCACGGATTATAAATACACTTTATTTCACGCCACTCATATATGTATAATCATGAGAGTGCATGGCGGTTCTGGTAAAGCCACCTACTAACAACCCTTTTACCTTTATCATGCCAACTGATTCTGACTAAAAAAAAATATGTCTGCTTCACTAGAGAGCTATTTCTAGACTGATAACTATTAGTCACGAAAAAAAACTCTGACGTGACACGTCGGTGAATACTGCAATTGTAAAGGGTGCCGAGGTACAAAGGTGAAGCGGTTACTGTTAATCAGGGTGCATCAATAGGGAACTTCAAAATGAAATGCTCCAGATAGATGCTGTGGTGACCGATGAATCTTGTGTCAGCAGCCTGTAAATGATCTGTGTGTACATGTTATCTGTGTGTGTGTGGTGATATAAACCGTGAGACATCGGTAGGTATTAATACATCCGTGAGGGGTTCATTTCCCTGTAGCTTAGCAACACTGATCGCTGTTAAGTTACAGAGGACTTTTAAGGGAAAAACTAATTTTTACGCTTCAGCGCTACCAGGTAACTCGGTGATAAGGCCACTTGCCACTTGCTATAGGTTGCAGTCAGCTGTCTTTTGAAGTTACATTGCAAAGACAAACTACTTTATACTGCATCACAGATGCTGCTATCTGATATGAATATCAGCTCAATGCATGAATTAATGAATGTCTAGCATTGTCCAGTTTTCAAAAAACAGATAAAGAGAAGCCTGTCCTTTTCACCGTCCATCTAATTGGCTTTTAAATCTTATATTTTGCGCAAAATCTTCATAAATCATTTTCTTTGCTGCTGTCGTTGTCACCATATATCGCCACTGACCTCATGGCATCTTCACCACCAGCTTAAGCATCTCTGAAATGCACGTCATGAAGAACTGGATATCCTGACACACGGCTATAACATTACAAATATGAGCATCCTCTCATCTTAATCATCCTCTCAGATTCTGTGACAAAAGGGTGTCAGGGAGGCAGAACACGAGAAGGAAAAGCAGGAAGTGCCAGCAAGGTCTTTGTTGGCTGAGTGTAAGGTTTCAAGCGAGGGGGGGGAGGGGGGAATCCATTTGTTTCAGTAACACACTCCCATGTCACACGACAATGTCCGTCTTTCATAAAACTAACCGATAGACAGCCACTGATTTGGTTAAAGGAGCGCCGTCATGCTATGAAACCTGGCTCCGCCTACCGCCGTAGCCCAAAGAAGAAGCTTGGAAATCCTGAGTAACGAGCGGCGGCCAAAAACAACTGCTGGAAAGAAACAGACACTGCCCATTGCCCTTATAAAGACAAAACTCCGTGTACATTTAGAGTAGATACAGGCAACAGTGATATACACGCGCAGACGTGCATCGCCTTGATGTGGGCTGAGGGCCAGTTCTAACACTGCAGCCCTCAGGGGTCTCATACGGCGTCTACCGAGGGGCCGCCGAAGGGCTGTAAGGGTATTACCGTTTCTCACACCAGCACTTCTCAGCTAGTTCAAAAATGACTGATGCCAACAAACAGACACACACAGAATGTGACCACGGCCCCTAGTGGTGTCTTCTGAACATAGGAGCTTGTTGCTTACCAAGAGACACAGGGGCCACGGTGGCTCAGAGTGAACTCGGTTGTCAGTTTCTACCACTCTCGGTCAAATATCCACAATATGAGAACCACGGCATGAGAGACAGTCAAATTTCAGTAACAGCATTCAAACTCAACAGTCATAAAGATGTTATTACACCTCGTCTTACAAGATAATTACAAAAACGAATCCTTAACGTCCCAAATCTTGAATGTAAATCCACAAAGCTCACCTCCACGCTCTCGTTGACTTCTATTCCCCCGTCGTTGTCGTCGTCCAGCTGTTTGTGGATGTGCCGCAGAGCATCCAGGCTGAAGCGGTCGTCCTCGCCCATGCATGGCGGCATCACTATGAGACAGGGGTCTACAGGGGAGGACAAGTTCAAGGTCAGAGACGAGGGCTAACAAACAGCCAGAAGACGCTTAATAAACAATGATCCCATGTCTAATTAGTCTGTGTCAGGTGCAAACAGATTAGAGCATTTTCCTCCTCTTTGTGTCAGTTTTAGCTACAGCATTATCTAACATATACAGGTGTTACCAGTCCACTTTAAAATGATCTTTATCGCAGATGGTAATTCAAAGCACCATCCAAGGAACTGCTGCAACTTGATGAACTTCATACTCGGCACAAAGATGACACATGCTGCAAAAAAGAGTTTACATTCCCAAGTCACAGAGAGCAAAAGATGCATCCACTGAAGTACAATGAGGTTGTGTTTGCAAAGATGGTCCATGTTTTGTAGCATAAATATGACTTCAAGATCTATTTTGCTTTCTTAAAAGTAAGCCGACATGTTCAAATCTTTTTTTGGCAGACAGAGCTGCGACAATTATTCAATAAATCCCGTATTTGTTAGACAAATCCCGCGTGCTGTTGTCATTCCTGCAGCATCCCCAGTCATAACCCCCCCCCCCCCCCTTGTTTTTATTCATTCACCCTCCCGTCCCACTGGGAAAATAAGCCCATTACTTCCAGCCTTCCTAGCGATGGGCAGTTTGAGCTGGCCAGGTGCCAAACTGTCTCAATGGAGCCACAAAACACACACACACACACACACACACACATGAACTCAAAGCCACATTTTTTTTAAAGATTGAAGTCACAATCTTAAATATATATCACGCCATAAACTTGCATACAAAATGACAGAAACGATTTCTTAAACCTATAAGTGCCTATTAATGGTAATCCAAGCAGAGCAAAGGCCTTGTCCAAGCCCGACAAATAACGATTCTCCCTATTTGGCAACAGCTTCGGAACAAACACAAAGCCGCACACAGCAGCCGAGGGAGTCGCAACTACAGCCAAACACATGGATCAGGCTCTGGCAGTGAGTAGTGCTTCTCCATCAGTGGAGCTAAAAGGACGACAGAAAAGCCACCAGAACACGCCAAAAATGGGAACAAAGGACAATTAAAAATCTAATTGTCTTGTAGTTGTCACATATGCTTTTGGATGCACAAATTATTTATTTATTTTCATCTGGGCAAACCACTACAAATGCTCCGTATATTTCCTGAAATATAAAAACAAAAATGTGGAAAATGTACAATTAATATGCTGTTAAAACATGAGTTTAAAAGTTTGCCACTTTGAGGAAATACTTTGAGAGTTAAATAAGAGGATTGATACCACTTCCGCGTATGTACGGTAAATATGAAGCTGGAGCCAGCAGCTGGTTAGCTTAGCTTAGCATAACGACTGGAAACAGAGGTAAACAGCTAGCCTGGCTCTGTCTATATGTTGAGAAAATGGCCAGCAGCACTTCTAAAGCTCAGGCTAGCTGTTTAGCAGTTTCCAGTCTTTATGCTAGGCTAGGTTAAATGCTACAAAAAAGTCCATAAGCATGTTTACAATTTAGTGACCGTGTGGCATTTTCGATGTCAGATCTGTTTACTGAAACAAGACTTGACACGTTAGTTATACAGTTGCCACTTTGGCAAAGTTTGGATGAGAGGACACTGGGGTGGATGTCCGTGTCAAAAAGGAGAAACCAGCGCTGGCAAAGGGCGGCACCTGGACTGAGCCTAACATGGATACAGTGCCAGAGGTTGGATAAAACATTTGTTTTTGTGTTACAGTAGTTTGTTTAAAGTGGGTGGGACCACAGTGGCTTTCAAATACACACTTGTTAACATAACGATGCGGTGGCACTGAACTAAATATTTCACTTGTGTTTTGACTAAGCTGCTGCAATTACGGGTGATACTACTTCCTGTGTGCACCAGGCTGCCTGTTTGACCTCCACCAAAATGTTATATTACCGTAATTCCTCCAAACAACGCGCACTACAAAATTTGTGAAACACAAAACATTGCTGACACTTCATTTTCAACAAACCTCTTTGAGCTAACCACGCTAGACGACGCTCAATGTCTATCTATCAGTGACAGGAAAGAGTATCAACACGATAAGGCTCTCAGTCAGCCGCATTTCAGCAGTGTCCGTCTGTCTGTCAGCTCAAAAAGCATCCGAAACTTGAGAGAGTTAGATAATGCATTTGCTTAGGTGGGAAGTGCAGTTTACATAGCCTGCTGTTTGCATAGCATGCATATCTATTTGCTTATTTAAATAAGCACGAAACTCAAATACTTCACTTGTGTTTTACATACACACAAACAAACACAGATAGCTGCACATCCTTTTAACTTTCTTTGTTTTGCGGAGACATCAGAATTGATAACGGCATACTTTTACAAAACACATTTCTATGATGTTGATCTTTTTTTTTGTTCTTTGTCATTTCTTTCTATACTGGTGGCCTAAATCTGTTCTGCATGTGTGCAGAACCCTTCATGAACCAGCTTATCTTCTGAAGCTCGTCGAGGAAACAGCTCATTCGAAGATAAAAGAAGAAAAAGACAAAAAAAACGCTGTCATTCACCGACAGTATTTAGGCTGGGCCACCTAGTGTGAGATTCAGAAAGATGACAGCACAAGCCTTTCCTTCCCAGGTGTCCTATTTTTCGAGTATGTTTATAGGGCCAGTTGCGAGCACTACAATCAGGAACCATGCGACAGGAAGTGGCCATCGGTGACCCCGAGCATTCCAGGGGGACGCACGCAAAATCAAAACAGCTGGGAGAAGCGGTCCCAAAATTGGAAAGCACTGGGTTATTTTTAACCCGTCAGGATGTAAAAACTCAACAATGCCAGAGGTCTCCCTTACTCTCTCTCACACACACACACACACACACACACACACACACGTTAAGTACACACGCGCACACACAGCAAGCAGTCGTACCCGTAATTCACATTGCCACAACTCAAAAAAATGCGTGCAAGCTGTCACAGAGGGCGCCGGGTTTTGTTCAAAAGAATCAGATAACAAAAGCGTTTTAGCTGTCAGCTGCAGCCTTTAAAGTGAATCCCAACACTTCAAAAAATTTATTTTTGCACAATATATGCATGCCGTTAAGACGGCACCGTCTTCATTTTAGCAGAAAAGCTGTTAAGTCGGTGACAGGAGAAGCAGACAACGAGGAGAGTGTGTCTGATGTGTTTAGGGGGATGTTTTTGGGGGAGTTCCTTGAACCTGATCCCTTGAGACACGTGGACGTGATGTTTATTCAACTGAATCCATACGGCAGACCTAGCTTGCTAAACCCACCGCAGTGTGTGGCGTGTTCAAAATGTTGGAGAACGACGTCCTCACGAAGGTTTGATGGGGTAATATGACAGAAGTGACAGTACGGGTGTGTATTCTGATCACAGAGCTGTATTTTATATTACCTTAAGTGTTTCTCTGTGCTATCGACCTCGGATAAAAACACACCAATGAGATAAACCATTGCACTGGGCGACATGTACCTTCAATACAACGAACATTCACAATTTATTTTTAGTCAATCCCACATATACACCATCATACTTCTGTAAATACCCACTAAAACACCGCTTCTTCTTACCCGCAAACTGCTCAAGATGTCCTCGGCTATTTCCTGCTCTGTCACTCACACACACACACGCACACGCACACACACACACACACACAGTCTCCCTCTCTTTCCCGAGTGCAGACACAGATGTCATGGCAAAGACACCGAACACGCACACCTTGCCCACACACATACGGCGCCTACTCACACACACTCAAGCGTGTAAGATGGCAGTACAGGTGGCAGCGGACTCGACTCGCAGACCAGGATGAAGTCATGCAGGAAGCAGACCGGCGGACATGTCAGCAAACACTCCACATACTAAAAAACGGATGAGAGTGAGCTCAATTACACACAGAGGAGTGTCTTCGTATTTCAGCCTCCTGACAGTAACCATATCTCAGACAATGTGCTATAGTAGCCGGCTTTCTCTTGTCCCGTGCAGGCTAGACAAAGTTTAAAGTCGACTCCAGGACTGGGGACTCTTGCTTTGCTCAGGGACACTTCGGCAACGCAGCCACTCAACCTTTTTTTGACCTTTTTTGACTTCATGACTCCTCGACCCCGACGTAAGAACTGGGGCTAAAGGTTGAGGCGACCTCCTGCTTGGATGTCAAACATAATATATTACCACACCGTGTCATGCCGTGTCAGCGATTCATCAGATCTGCTGTCACCGTGCCAAACTCCTCTCAACTTTCACGCATTTACGCGCACTTACCATATGGATAAGTGAGATGTTAAGTGCATTCTTAGAAATTCCTGCTTTTCATTGATGCTATCAGCAGCCATAAGTTAGTTACAGCCTTTGCTCCAGGGCCAACCAACAAGTCTGACCGCATCTTGTCATACATCTGAGTGTCTTGTAAATGAAGCAAAGAAAAAAATCCTAATTGCGTGGCATTCAATACACTAATTAGGGAGGGGGAGGAGGGGGGATGTGATGTCAATGTCTACCAGACTTGTTCCCTGTAACCGGCGCCCATATGCCAGTGTCATAAATCAAGCTGACAGGTTAGTATTAAAGCAAGTAAATAAAGCTTCTGGAGAGTCTACCATTTCAGCTCATCAGCAGCCATTAATAAGACACAAATATCATTAGCCGCCTATAAATGCCTCCAGCTAGTGCAGAGAGAGGGAGAGAGGGAGAGAGAGAGGGGTACCGGTGAGCTGTCTAACTCCCTAGGGGCATGTCGGAAGAATGTGGAACTGCAAAACACAAAAAGCGGTGCGATACACACGGAAAAAAAGACATCCATCCATCTATCATCCATACTTCCTGAGAGCCACCTACACAGAGACAGAGTCCCCATTCCAGAAAAAACAAAGTCTTGCAAAACCTCACAACGGACTAAGCTCCAGACGTTCAACATGTCTCGACTAAACCTGATACACCCTGAACCGTATTATCCATGTCGCAATCTGCCGAGTGTTGGAAACAATTGATTATGCAAACAATACAGTCGGAGGTGCAGCTGG